CTGCCCGGCGAGCGCCTCGCCCGCGGTGGCGCCGAGGGCGAGGGCGCCGGCTGCGCCGCTCGCAGAGGGCACGGGTGGCCTGGCGCCCGGGCCACGCCGCCTCCGGCGACGACGTCAAGACGCCCTTGCCGCTGCCCTCTGCGACCGCCGCCGCCGTCGTCGTTGTCGTCGCCGTCGTCGTCGTCGTCGTCGTCATCGTCGGCGGCGGCGTCGTCGCCGTCGGCGTCGGCGGCGCCCGCGGCCGTCCGACGGCCGCCGTCCACCGCCGCCGGACGCCGCGCGCGGGCGCAGGAAGCGCGACGCGGGGGCAGTCGCGGCGGGTAGGGCGCATTTTGATCTGTTTGATCTGATGCGGCCTAGGGTAAATCGCGCGCCCCTGCTCCAAGCGCCCGGGGTAAGATGGCAGACAAGCCACCCTCCTGGAACCCCGACCACCGAAGCCGCTTAACAACGCACCCAACGAAGGAATCGGAAAAGGCAGGGCCGCTTGGCAGACGCCCAGGACCATGCAGTAAACGCCAATTCTGGGGGTCGGGGTGGTTTCTCCTCCCGTGACGAATGGAGGAGGGAAAGGAGGAGGAGGAGGAGGAGGAGGAGGAGGAGAAGGAGGAGAAGGAGGAGGAGGAGGAGGAGGAGGAGGAGGGGGAGGTGGAGGAGGAGAAGAAGGAGGAGGAGCAGGAGGGAGGAGGAGAAGGAGAAGGGAGGAGGAGGAAGAGGAGGAGAAGACAAAGGAGGAGGGGAGGCGAGGAGGTGGGGAGGATGGGAGGAGGAAGAGGAGGAGGAGGAGGAGGTGGAGGAGGAGGAGGAGGTGGAGGAGGAGGAGGAGGAGGGGAGGAGGGAGGAAGGAGGAGGGATCGAAGAAATTTTGAATGCTGCTGGTGTCGCTCTCTTGTCGCATTTTTGGGGGGTGCCTCCGGGGGGCGCCCCCCAGGTGGCCACGGCCGGGCTCGACTCGACCACAAGAAAGCGGCCAGGGCGGCGCCCCAGGGGAACCAACTTTGAGCCACAGCAAGGCAGCAGGAGGAGGAGGAGGAGGAGGAGGATGCAGAAGAGGAGGAGGAGGAGGAGGAGGAGGAGGAGGCAGAAGAGGAGGAGGAGGAGGAGGAGGCGTCGCCTAAGCCCTTCGGAGAAACCCTCCAATGCCATCTGAGCTGCGAAGAAACAACAGGGCTTGGCGCGAGATGGCACAGCGACCTTACGCGGTGGCTCACGCGGGCCGCCAGAGCGGCGCGCTGCACTGGAAACGACGGCGCTCACCCGCGACCCTGTGCGGGCAGCCTGTGCGCGCCGGTGTCCGTGCTGGCGGCCCCGTCTCTTGCGCCGCTCCTCTGGCAGTCCCGCCCCGTCGGGCCAGGGCGCCGCGGAGAGGCCACGGCCCGGCGTCGTGGCTGTCCCGCCCCAGGCCAAGGGGAGCCTCGCGGAGCGATCTGCCGCGGGAGCGCGAGGCAGAGAGAAGTGCAGCCAACCCGTATCATGCGGATGCACGGCAAAAACACAGGGGCCTTGGAAGGCCATGCCGACACCTTGCGAGTGGGGCGCGGCCAGCGAAAGTCGCTACGTAAGGATGGGCCGAGGGGACAGGGATGCAAGTGAACCCTTGGGACGGTTGCCCGTCCTTCTTATGCGGGTTAACCGTTAACTGTAGGTCCGAGAACCGTGGCCGTTCACGAACATTTGCCCTGTTCGCGACGCCGGGCCCCTGTGCTGAGACGTGCCACACGCAGAGAGTGGCCATGTAAGCAAGAATGACCTTCGGTGCGCGGCCTCAGTGGGTCTGCGGGGAGGTCCAAACCAAGCGAGCACGCCGGTGCCGGGAGACATCCGCGAGACAGTGTGACCCAGCAGAACGCAAGAGGACACAAGAGGACACAAGGGTAACTACTCAGCCGATGAATCGAGAGGGGACTGGGCGGACGCCGGGGCGTACTTGACATTGCAGGGTCGGCCGGTCGCGACTGTCAATCGAATCCCTGCCTTGACGTCGGCCTTGGCTTGTTTCTGACACCGCGCGAGCTGCTGACAACGCGTGAGCAGCTCCATCTTCCGACGTCCCCTGGAGGGTGTCCACCCCTCCGCTCGTCTGGACTTTTGCTGTGAGCCGTCTTCTGTGGGAACCCAGGGCACGGAGTGGTGCCGCCGACGCGATGAGGCGGAGCGAACCTGGCGTACGCATCGGTCCTGGCTGTGTGTCTCCTGTGGCTTCTGGCTCTGAGACCACGACCTCGACGACGGCAACGACGACGACGACGACCACAACGACCACGACCTCAGCGACCACGGCGACGACCACAACGATCACGACATCGACGACCAAAACAACGACGCCGTCGCCGCAGCCGACGACGACGACGACGATGCCGACGACGACGACGACGACGACGACGACGACGACGGCGACGACGGCGACGACGACGACGGCGACGACGACGACGGCGGCGACGACAACGACGACAACGACGGCGGCGGCGGCGACGACGACGACGTCGGCGACGACGACGGCGACGTCGGGAGCCACGGGCGGCGGCCCCGGCGCCGCGGGCCGCCGGCGGGCCTTTCGCCGGCGGCGCGCGGTGCCCCCGCGCGGCTCCCGGAGCGTGGCCGCGACGGGGCGCTGTCGGCGGTCGAGGGCCTGCCAGCGAGCGGCCGCCCTCCTACTCCTCCTCCTCCTCCTCGATCCTCCTCCTCCTCCTCCTCCTCCTCCTCGATCCTCCTCCGCCTCCTCGATCCTCCTCCTCGATCCTCCTCCGCTGATCGACGCTACTCGTCGCTAAATCGGCGTGCTCCCATCGAGCGCCAGACGCTGGTGCACGCTAGTGCACTCTGAATGCGGAAGTCCGAGGACACACAAGGCTTGTGTCGGGCATGTCCTCCATTAGGCGGACTTGGGAAGAAACACGAACAATAATCAAAACATATTCAACAACAGTCAACAAATAGTTATGCTATTTTTGAATATTCCTCCTGAAGAGGGACACGCCCGACTTAACACAAAACTCCCATGAGTGGCTGCCGAAAGACACTCGGATCGAGCAGCGCCCCAGCCGCGTACACGTGGGGTCCCCCGAAGCTCCAGCGGCGAGGAGGGCGAGGACACTCCTGTGCGCCGCCGAGGGGAACCGAGCCCCCCCCTCCTAGAAGAAGAAAACGATTCGGCATAAAAGGACCCCGAACTCTTTGGGAGGCGACCTAAGTTAGGAGGGTCAGAGACATTAGGGATATGGGGTTCTTTTTCTACACAGATGTGTCAGACCAAACTGCCCAGATTTATCATCCCCAATGAAAGGACGGGGCCTTAATGAGGCCACGTCTCCACTGTGTAATTAGGGTTGAAAATTCTTTTACCCTCGATCAGGAAAGAAAACGGCATACGCAACAACTTTCGCCGGTCCCCGCGCATTTCTTTGACCTGCGCTGGGGCCCCCTTCCCGGCACGCGGAGCGCGCCAGGGGCGGCGCCGGAGGCGCCGCCAGGGGGGCCCCAGGTCCGATCCAAGAAATCCGCGCGGAGCGTCGAAAGTTGATATTGATGGCGTTGTTTCTTCTTTGATGTGCGCCGCCGCGGACACCCCCCTCCGCTCCCGCCTCAGCGACCAGTGCAAAATGCCAGACTGCGTCATCTCCATGGGGTTCCTCATCTGACCGGAGGCCAGCACTCGGCGCAGACCTTCTGCGGGCAGTGGTCGTCGTCGTCGTCGTCGTCGTCGTCATCGTCGTAGCTGTCGCCGTCGTCGCCATGGTTCTGCTCCCTCCTCCCTCGTGCGGGCCATGCTGGAGGCCGGTAGACCTCGAAAAAAGGAGGGCCCTAGATCGTCGCTCCGTTTCAAGTCTCTCACACTGGCCAACTGGGAGCCTCCTCGGGGCGGCTCGCATGGGGTGCTGTAGTCTTGGGGCCACTTTGACGCCTCAGGAGCACGCTGGAGGGGGACAAGGCGACGAAGCCAGTCTTGGCCTGTCGGGGGCAGCCTGGGGATGCCCGGAGGCCACCTCGGAGCCGTCTGGGGGCCCGCCTGGGGCCTCGTGGCGGCATGCTGGAGGCCGTCTTGGCCCATCCGCGCCGTCCGGGTGGGAGCATTGAACTGTCTGGAACCATCTTGGAGCAGTCCTGGGCCACCACCGCGGGAAGCCCCAACTCCAGCCCCCTGGGGAGTGGGCGCCTCCTTCCTCTGGCAGTCTCCGGCGGCCCCTGGCGGCCTCTGGAGTCTCCCGTAGCCCGTGGGGGCTGCACGTCTGAGGAGGAGGAGGAGGAGGAGGAGGAGGAGGAGGAGGAGGAGGAGGAGGAGGAGGAGGAGGAGGAGGAGGAGGAGGAGGAGGAGGGAGGAGGAGAGGAGGAGGAGGAGGAGGAGGAGGAGGAGGATGAGGATGAGGAGGAGAAGGAGGAGGAGGAGGAGGAGGAGGAGGAGGGAGGAGGAGGAAGGGTTGAGGAGGAGGAGGGAGGAGGAGGAGGAGGAGGAGGAGGAGGAGGAGGAGGAGGAGGAGGAGGAGGAGGAGGAGGAGGGAGGAGGAGGAGGAGGAGGAGGAGGAGAAGGAGGAGGAGGAGGAGAGGGCTGCAATGCGAGAACATCGCCGCGGCGACGTGTGCACCACCGCGGGGCACAAGCACGGCGTGCCCCGCGGGTGGGCCAGCTCGCCTTGCGCTGGCCTTCTTCCGTCTGCATCCGTCCTCCCCCCAGACCTTCGGCAACTCGACAAGACCCCGACGCTTGTTTCTGTCACCGTCTTCCTCCTCCTCTTCGGCCGTCGCTTCGTTGTCGCCTCCCCCCTCCCGCACGGAGGCACAATTTGCTCAACGGCTGCTCCGTGTTGCTTCCTCGCCAGCGCAGTGACCCTGCCTAGCCGCCGACGCAAAAGTGTCTGTCAACGTTCGTCCTCTGGGGGTCGCTTTCGGACCCCGGGCCTGCCACAAAACTACGTCTCGAGATGAAACACTGGCACAGGGTGGGTCGAGAACACGCTGACCCGTCTCAGCACTACCCCCGCGACGTGCGCCCCACTTGGGGAATGAGTCGGGAGCACCAGGGGCTCCCGCTGCGAAGCTGGGATCGCGCATCGCGCTACGGGAAGTCCCGTAGTCTTGTGGCCGAACAGGCGAGTGGTCCAGCTATCGGTGCCTCGACCTCGTCATCAGGTCGGACCGAGGTATAAGATCGTGTGCGGTTCGGGGAAGGCTCCCTAATGTTCTTCGTGCTTGTTGGATGTCATTGTGCATCCTTGGGGGGGCCCTCGAGTAATCTGATGGCTTGGGGTGTCTGAGCCGTCGGAGTGTCTCATCTTGTAAGGGATGGTCTTCTGTCCTGGGTCCGGCCGTACACCGCTCATCATGTCACTCCCACTCCCTCCTTCCACGCGGGGAACATAATCACTGCGTGTATCACTTTAGCTCGGTTATCCCCCAAAAGATCCATGGGCAGGCGGCGCGCTCGCCAATCGCCTGAGACCGAGTTCGCTCACACGCTGGATTAATTATGAGGATTCGACAGCAGCTCACTTCCTTTTGAAGCACCACACCTTTCGCAAAACACCGCCAGATCTTGAAAGAAAAGAAACGTATGGTGGCACTGCCTCGATCGAGACCGAGAGCTTAGCTGAGCATGGCCACGAGCTTGTTGCGAACATCGCGAGATCATGCGCTGCCTAGCGTGGGCCTAGTCGTGGTAGTGATGACGACGACGACGACGGCAGCGAATATGAGGGGAGCGAGATTGAACATGAAACAATCACGACGGATACGAGGAGGACGTGCAGATGATGATCATCCTGTTGTGCTCCAATCGCGGCGGCATTTCGATGGTCGGGCCAGCGCGTTGGGAACTGGCAAGCACATGACCTGAGTGGATCCTGCCACCAACTCGCTGGACCTGGAGGCCAACACCAGAGAAGAGCACGTTCGCAAGAGCCACCTGCAACGTAATCTGCGGTAGCTTCACGAGAACGAAAGCATGCTGCCAGGAAGCACTATCATAGTTGTAATTGAACGTGTCGACAAACTCTTGCCCAACAGCCAACAACGCCCCCAGCATGGCTATGGCAAAAGACACGCCAACATCAAGATGCGTTCGCTTCTTCTGCGCATATGTGGCCATCCATACAATGCCGGCCATCTGCAAAACAACATCGGACCAGGCAGACAACAGATCCAGCACGAGCCTACTACCTGCGCGCGTCCAATAATCCCAGCAATCCATCACCGCGTTGTCAGAAAAGGCGGTCCACCAGGTGGGGAGTGTCAAATAGAACGAGTCCGTGAATCGGAACAAGAAGGCACCCACGCTGCGCTCCACCTGGCGGGGCATTGCTTCGCGGACCACTGCGTCAAATTCGTCGAGGCCCCCAGGGAACTACATGCGAATCGCGACATAAATGGCCTGGCGATCGCACTCGATGGGTGTTGTCGTTCCAGGTATCACGTGCCCCTCGGTGCAGCAGAAGCACTCCGCCGAATCGCAACTGAATCCTTCAAGATAATCTGACTTTGCATGTTGCGATGCTCACGAGCATACAGCCGCGCCATGTGTGCGGCTGAAGTGAAAAAACAAACTACGATCACAGCTTGAAACCCGGGAGCTCCCAGGCGCTCCAAGGCGCTCCCGTGAGTCTGAAGGGAAAGGAAGTTACATAATGCTCGACTCGTTTCAAACACAGCCACGCCAAACGTGCAAATGGTTAACACGTACCCGCGGAGTGATGGGAACACCCGGATACGCGCCTGGGAGCCATGCAAATACGTGAAAGCGGCCAGCTCAAAAACACACCACAACCGATTGAAATATGCAGCGTCCCAGAGCCACCTAGCCCATCGATGCCGAGCCGTTTTCTCACCGTGTCTGTTTGGTGTATGCAGGCCTTGTCTAAGAACACCAGGTCTCCAGGTTGTCACAGAAGCAATGCCACCAAATAGGTGAATCCACCAGCAAGCAACGGCCAATACCCGAACGGCACTCTGGTTGCATCGGTCAAACCTTTGATGGCACACCAGGTGCCGATCTGAAACCCACCGCGGACGCAGAAACTGTTTGAATTGCAGTCCTCGTCTGAGGTACACCCACTTTTGAAGCACCATTTCCCTTCCACCGCATCGGACTGAATCACCACCCCGATAAACACGCAGACGACCAAGCTTGCTACCACTGCGATCTTGCTGTTATACACAAAAAACAGTGTCCGTATTTTGTGCCTCGAGCATCCGCGCCATGAATGGCTCCAGAACGAATTGATCTTTGCAGTGGGCTGACTCAGATCGTAGGAGTCTGCGTTGCCACCGCTCTGCCTGAGCACGGCGCCGAAACACCTCAACACCTCGCGAGCCGGCACTGCACGCAGAACATCCTCATCTACACTGCAAGCATACATACTTTGAGACCGCTGATGGCAAGCAGACCTGCCTGAAGAAACGAACGAAACTACCGATGCTGAAGACAAATTCGGGATGCTCTGACTGAGCCTCCGAGCCGCTGCGTCAAAGCTACGTCGGATGATGAAACAAGTTCAGACAACGCAAAAACAACTGCGTCAAATGGTGCAAACTGGAACACCGTACGGACTTGAACCGGAACTATCTGATCCAGAATGACTTTGAGCCAAACTGGTTACAGAGTCTCCCAAGGAAAGCTTCAATCCTCAATATCACACCCCTCCGAAGCACCCTGAACGGCACCACACAACTCCCACTAACCGTCACCAAGCGTCTGGGCGTAGGCATGTGGTTAACCGCGGTAGGTCTTTTTGACCACCCCAGTAGTTGGAAACTAATTATCTGTTCAACGACCTTATTGACGGACTGGGGACCCACCAAGAATGAGAGATGATTATTTAACCTGTTCCTGCTCCTCCTCCTCCTCCTCCTCCTCTTCCCCCTTCCCTCCTCCTGCTCCTCCTCCTGAGGAGTGAAACGAGGAGGAGCTGGAGGAGGACAAGGAGGACAAGGAGGAGGAGGAGGAGGAGGAGGAGGAGGAGCAGGAGGAGCAGGAGGGGGGAGGAGGAGGAAAAAGGAGGAGGAGGCGGAGGAGGAGGAGCAGGAAGAGGAATGGCGAGTTCATTCCCCGCCGACAAAAACAGAGGGGGGGACTAACTGAAGACCTCCTGAGGTTATGTTGCGCTGCTGGTCTGCTCTGTCTGTCGACGCCGCTCTGCCGTGCCCTGGCCTGCGCTGCGCTGGCGTGGCCGGTTCTGGGAGCTGGGAGCCGGCGGGCACTCCCCTTGGGGGGGGCAGCTCTTTGCTGCCGCCAGCTTCCGAGGGCCTTGTGCCAGCGGTGCCGCCGAGGTTTCACCTCCATAGGACAAGAAGCACTCCAGGAACAAGAACTTTTGGCGCTCCGCGCGGATTTCTTGGATCCGCGCTGGGGGCCCCAGGGGCGGCGCCGGAGACGCCGCCGGGGAGGGGCCCAGGCGCGGAGCCAGGACATTCGCGCGGAGCGCCACAAGCTTATGCTTCTGGTGATTCTTTTCTTCGAGGGAGACCGGTGTCCCAGACATGCGAAGTCCTGATTTTTTTCCAACACGCGGTCACCGAAAGTCCCCTGACGCTCTCCCCGGGACCAGTTTGTCATCCTGAGCCGCTTTCTGAGGGTTCCGGGGCCCAGCGAGAGCCCCCAGAGGGCGAAAATGGCAACAACACCTTCCGTCGTGATTTTTGTTACTGCACGATCTTGTCTGTGGTAGCAACCTGTCCCCCGCTGGCGACTGGCCCAGCCCGGGTCGGCCTCGAGGTCGGCTGCAAGACCTCTCCCGAAGCGGGGCTCCAGCCAGCCCAGTAGTCCGCAGGGGGGGGACCCAGCCGTGGCGATGAGGAGGACCCCCCTTGGGAGGCCCAGCCTGGGCCTCGTGGGGGGTCCTCCCCGTCGTTACAGCTAGTCCTCCTTCTCCTCCTCCTCCGCCTCCTCCTCCTCCTCCTCCTCTCTCCTCCTCCTCCCTCCCTCCCTCCCTCCCCCTCCCTCCCTCCTCTCTCCCTTCCTCCTCCTCCTCTCCCCTCCACCTCCTCCTCTCCTCCTCCCCTCCTCCTCCTCTCCTTCCCTCGTACCCCCCACTTTCTCTCCCCCCCTCCCCTCCTCCCTCCTCCCCTCCTCCTCCTCCTCCTCCTCCTCCCTCCTCCTCCTCTCCTCCTCCTCCCCTCCTCCTCCTCCTCCTCCTCCTCCTCCTCCCTCCTCTTCCTCCTTCTCCTCATCCTCCTCCTCCCTTCTCCTCCTCCCTTCTCCTCCTCCTCCTCCACCTCCTCCTTCTCCTCCCTCCTCGTCCTCTCTCTTCCTCCATCCTCCTCCTCTCTCCTCCTCCTCCTCCTCCTCCTCCTCCTCCTTCCTCCTCCCTCCTCCTCCTCCACCTCCTCCTCCTCCTCCTCCTCCTCCTCCTCCTCCTCCTCCTCCCTCCTCCCTCCATCCTCCTCCTCCTCCTCCTCCTCCTCCTCCGCCTCCTCCTCCTCCTCCTCCTCCTCTCCTCTCTCCTCCCTCCTCCTCCTCCTCCTCCTCCTCACCTCCTCCCTCCCTCCTGCTGCTGCTGCTCCTCCTCCTCCTTCCTCCTTCTGCTCCTTATCCTCCTCCTCCCTCCTCCTCCTCCTCCTCCTCCTCCTCCACAATGACACCATGTGTATACTACTCTCCTCTCGCCCCTGATGACGTCCAGGAGATATCCGGCCCCCCTCCGCGTACTGTTTTCTCAAGCACAGGATTCATGGGAAAAGGGTTTTCCTTTGGGTATGTTGTCAAAATGTTGCTCCCGCTGACGCACTGGCCTCATTTTCGGGCTTCCGCTCGTTCGGAATCGTGCTCCCGCTGCAGCGATGGCCTCATTTCCGCGCTTCCGTTTGTTCCGAATCGTGCTTCCGCTGCAGCGCTGGCCTCATTTCCGCGCTTACGCTCGTCCCGAATCGTGTTCCCGCCTCAGCGCTGGCGTCATTATTCACAGTACCATGCCACGGCATGGTTTGCGGTCCTTCCAAATCGGCCCCCAAATCTAGAAAGTGGCCTCCCGCAACAGCCATCGGAAGTGATTACAGATGCGGTGTCGATTCGTTGAGACTTATCGGTCCGCGGACCCCCCCTCACTTTGGGTCGTCGCCACGCCATGCTATGTCATGCTGCGCGTTGATCGTCAACACCATGCTATGCCATGCCATGCAATGCTCTATGCCATACTGCGACATGAGTGTGCGAATAGAGAGGAGATATACGCCATGGTAAGAGAGGGGAGGCAGGTGTAGGACTTCAGACATGATGCGAGCGCACCTGGCCTGCCCTCCCCCCCTCCCTCTCTTTCTCCTCCTCCCCCCCCTCCCTCCCCCCCTCCCTCCTCCTCCTCCCTCCTCCCTCCCTCCCTCACGCCTCCCTCCCTCCCTCCCTCCCCAGAGGCCAGCCTGGGCCTCTGGGGGGTCCTCCCCATCGCCACAGCGAATCCAGCCCTCCTCAATCTCCTCCACCTCGTCTGGGCCGCCCTGCGGAGGGAGGGGGAAGGACGAGGAGGAGGAGTGGCGTCTAGCGGGCGATACACACCGGCCTAGAGGTGCAGCGGGCGAGACACCTAGATTCTGCACCGTGGACTGGAAATGCGCACCGCCGATGCGTCGGCGACGTCGATCGGGAGCAACTCGTGCCCCAGATCGCGCCGCATCTGCTCTGGCCCAAACTAGGCGGCCACCAGATCAGCACAGCGGGGCCACTCCCAAGAGGGAGATTGGGACAACTGGGTTTGGAGGGGGGCGGACTTCCAGTTCATCAGTGCAGGCTCAGGGTGCCTCGCCCGATACACCTCCAGGCCAGCGTGCACCGCCCGCCAGAGCTGACCTGGAGCTGTGCTAAGCATGCCCCGTTTGGGAGCCGCGCATCTGCACGCCAAGGTACAGTCGGGGCATTGACCTGAGGAACACTAGACAAGGAACGAGGCCCCCATTCTTCCCAGAAGTCACACTTCGACCTACCATGGAATACCCAAGGGGGGAGACCTGAGGCAATCTGCAAAACGATTCAGGAACACCGAGCCCCTCCCCAACGAAAAGGGTGCCTGCTTTGGCGCCCCGATCGTACGCGGGCCTTGGACGGACACACGGTGCTCACACACACACACAGTGCTGCACGCCGCATGCTCGCGAGCCTGCCCCCGACCCGTGACCAGGACGGGGGGGCCCGGGGCAGAGGAGCACCTCTCAAGAACACGAGATCCGCCGCTGGCCAGCACACACACACACATAGAACGGCCAAGGGTACACGTCGTTCATGTCGAGTCGTGCTCATTTCAAATTGTGCTCGTTTCTACTTGTTCCTGGCCCCCCAGGAAGAGGCCCAGGACTGAACAATGAGAAATGAAAGGATCTTGGCCCCCCAAAAAATCAAAGAACTCAAATAATTGGAAATTAACCATGTGTACCCTCCCCAGGGATGCACGATAACATCCAACAAGCACGAAGAACATCCAGACACGGCAGGTTCGCGTCGTGTCGACCCCGGCACTGGTTCCTGACACCACAGGAATCCTTCAAACTGGAACGATCGGCCGTTCCGTGCACGCCGGACACTTCAACGACGGGCCGATTCTGGGCCACGGGAGGCGTTCAACCTTAAACGCACGCGCTGGGGTCGACGCCAATCGGCACGACGCGAACCTGCCGTACCCTCCCCGAACCAACCTCGATCCTGCCCTCCGCCGGCCAGAGCACACGGAACAGTCAATGGTACCCTCCCCAGGAATGCACAAGAACATCCACCTAGCACGAAGAACATCAGGGCACCCTCTCCGAACAACAAGCCTCGATCCTGTAAACCTCGGGCCGATCGTGTACGGTGCATGGTGGCGGGTGCGGACGTAGCTTCACGGTCGTGACCCGTCCTCCCCCATGCGAAGGCGAGCCCAACATCGAAGCGACAAGTCGGATCGGCGAGGGAATCGGACCGATGGAAGTCGGCAGCCGAGTCGGGAGGAGCCGAATCGGCGGAAGCCGACGGAGCACCGAGGCCTCCAGTGAAGAATCGAGACCCAACTCGAACTCCCAAGTTGAGTCGAAGTGGAATCGGGATCCATCGCAGTCCAGTCGAACCGAACCGGAGGAATCGAAACGAGCGGGTCCAACCGAATCGAATCGGAGGGGTCGAAGACGAATCGAAGGCGACTCGAAGTCGAAGCGAGGATCGAACCGAAACCGAAGTCGAGCCCGAGGAAGCGAGGCGAGCCCTGCATGGTGCGGGGGTGGCCTCCGCCCGTGGGCCGGCCCCGACGACCCCCCCCTCCGCTGCAAGCGCGCGCGCCGAGAGCGCTGGGGGGTCGGCGGCCCAGCCGACGCTGGCTCTTGCCACCGCTCGGACGTGCACTCCCCGTGCGTTTTTTGTTTGTTTGTTGTTGTCATGTTTCTCTCTCTGTTGTTGTAAAACATGTCTGGCTACAAAATGCACACCCGCAGCCTTAATACCACCTCACTGCCGTGCGAATCGAATTGATGTTATGCATCGCGCGCGGCACGCGCACTCCACACGCGCGATCCCCTCAGCCCAAACAGCTTTACCAATTTTAACGCCGGACTGTGCGCAAAACTGCTTTAACAATTTTAACGCTGGTTGCGCTGCACCGGCCCCGTGACATTTGCAGCACATCTCGCGGCGTGGGGGGGTTCGACTTCGCGCGTCGATTTTGTTCGCTAGATGGTCCAAGATGCTCCACGATGTTCCTTGCCGAGAAAAAATAATGATGCACACGTCCGAGCGGTGCCAAGGACAATCGCCGACGTGGGAACCCACTCAGCGTCTTGCTGTTGAAGAATCACCAACAAAAGCGAAGGGATAATTTTCTGATGCACTGTTTTGCCGATCGGCGCGGGCCCTCGCCCCCCCCCCCCCTGGAGTGGATCTTGGCTGCTTTTGGCACCTGTTTCAAGCAGAGGTCCGCAGCCAGACCCCTTCTCCCCCCCCTATCGGGCATGTCCTCCTCGATGACCCTCCACCTCCACCTTCCATACGTTCCGACCTCCGCGAGCGGTGCGGAAGAACTCACCAAACTCATGGAAAACCTCACGCAATTCAAGGGCACCCACATAGATCAGACCGAACAAAAAGGTCGCGCAAGGCGGAAGGTCCAGAAGAATGGAGGGGGGGGGGGCTTCTGGCTCGATGATCCAGGATGCTCCTCGACGGTCCTCGCCGAAGAAAAAGCTGCACACGTCCTAGCGATGCCAAAGGGCCCAGGCGCAGCCGCTGCGCGGGCAGTGTGCCAGCAGCTGGCGGGAGCCGCTCGGCCGGCAGCGCGCGCCCGGGCCAACCCGGGGCCGACGTGTGCGGCGCGCTCGGGCCCCCGCCTTCGGCGGCAAGTCACGGGAGCCTCCTGTGCTATCCGAGCTACGATCGAGAACGGGTCTTGCGCGAGATGACGTACAGGGGGGGGGGGAGGGGGGGGGGGGGGGGCAACACGAGAGACCTCCTGGAGTTATAGTGGGGGAGCCCATCAGGCAGGAGGAGCGAGGAGACAGGGAACGGGGACGAGGCAGGAGCCGGGAGAGGGCAGCAGGCAACAGGACGAGTGGACATGCGTGGCTGGCGTTCCATGCCAAACGAGACCCACCCAGAGGACTGGCAAGACATACGAATGCAGTAGGAGCTCGATCACAAGAAACCTTCCACAAGAAACCCAACCCTGAGACCTCAGGACGTCAATTTATTTGTGTGGGAACGTCACGCCTTCCATCGTAGAACCATCGAATCCCAAGCAACCCAGGGCACCCTCGAGGCAAGCAGGGTGCTTCGTGGCATGGACTTCCACTGTAGCGACCTTACGCCGCAGACTACGCGGGCCGCCAGCGCGGCAAGCTACACTGGAAGCGAGGGCACTCACGCGCGGCCTTAAGCGGACAGGTTGCGCGCCCATGTCGGCGCAGACGATCCCGTTTTCCTGCGTCGCTCATCTGGCTGCCTCTTGCGACTCGACGCGAAGCGAGGCCATCAACGCTAATCGACGCTAAGTCGACGCTGATCGGCGCTAAATCGGCGCATTCTCATCGATTGCCAGACGCTAGCGCACGCGAACGCACTCTAGAGACCAAGGCTCCCATGATTTGCTACCTAACCCGCCCCTGCATTCGTGCAAATGGTAAAATATTCTGGTCCGCTGCAGCCAAGTGCCCGAGGCTGGAATATCTACACACCCATCGCCTGGGGAACCGATCAGGACCCGGGGAGGCAGTGCATTTAGGCATCTTTGGTCCCATGGGTACCCTGGGACACTGGTACGGCAAGTTCACGTCATGCCGACTTCGGTTTTGGTCTCTTACACGGCAGGCATCTTTCAACTTTGAACGATCGGCCGTTTTCGAAACGTCAGATCGTTGAACATCGACCGGCTCTGGGTCGCTGGCGGCGTTAAACATCATGCGCTGGCGGCAAGGTCGCCGCTGGTCGACACGACGCGAAACTGCCTTCCCCAAGTTCCGACGTAGCGACAAAATTGCAACATCGTGAAAGTACACGCCCGGAGCCCTAGACCCCACCTTCCTGCGTCATTTCTCGAGCCGGATCGATCTGTGAGGGCCCCGGGGCCCGACAACAGGCGACCACGCCCGGCTCGAACAACTTGAGACGCCAGGACCTCCGGGGTACCCCAGGCGGCGTATCCGCATACGCTTCAGCCCCGGACCCACTCGCTGGGGGCCTGCGCCACGGGCGGGCAGCCCAGCCGCGGGGCAGGCAGCTGCTGCTGCCGCAGCGGCTCGCCCCTGCCGCAATCTGCCGAGCCAGGAGCTCGCACCGGGGAGGCTTTGCTCCACGGGGCCGGCCTCTGCTCAAGGGCGCGATCTCGAGGATACCTAGGAGGGCACCCACTACACTGAGATCTCTGAGGGGGTTGCTGAGGGCATCGGGAGGTTAGAAGTGAATGCTAAGGTGGGTTGTACCTGGCCTGATCTATTTCAAAGGTGAGTTACAGGTGCCCTCCGTGGAATAGGGAGGCGAGCGATCTAGGCTAAGTGGGCTCCTCCCACTCAGCGAGGTGATGGACCCCCCCTGGAATCACCTGGGGCACCTGTGACTCGATTTTAACCCAGGTCGGGCTAGATATAACCCACCTTGGCATTGACTTCTAACCCTATCCCCTTAGCCCCCCCCCGCAGTGACCTCAGTACACCTACACCGGTCAACACCAGGCCGATCCTTGGCCCAAGATCGGTGCATATGCCCTCCATGCTTGGGCAGGAAGGCATACATATATGTAGATATGAATGTTTATGTCTATATGTACATACATATGTATTTGTATAGACATATGTATATATATATAGGTGTGCATACCACATCTATATATGTACATACATACATACATACATACATACATACATACATACATACAGACATACATACATACATACATACATACATACACACATACATACATACATACATACATACATACATACATACATACATACATACATACATACATACATGCATACATACATGCATGCATGCATGCATGCATGCATGCATGCATACATACATACATACATACATACATACATACATACATACATACATATATGCATACATATATACACACATAACCTGCGGCCCAGGGTCGGGCTGGCCTGGATCGGTCCAGGGGTATAGCTGGTGCTCTCCAAATCTATATATATACACAGATGTATGTATGTACGTTTGTACGCATGTGTAAAAACATAGGCATCTGAATCTACAGATCCACTTCCCGCGGGCACGCTCGAGGCACCATGGCTGTCCCTCCTGCGGCGGCCGCGGCCCTCCCCCGAGCCCGCTCCCCTCCTGGGGAAGCCAACAGCTACCGATACCGCTGCTCCCCGGACCTTTCCCAGGGTGCGTCCTGACCAGAACTTCGAGGCGAATCCCACGGTGGCGACGAGGGCCTCCCAGGAGGGCCCAACAAAAAGGGAAATCGGGCGAAGGGCAGAGGTACGGGTGCCTTTCCCTCCTCTCCCTTCCCGCGCACCGACGCACGGGGCAGGCACGAGTTGAGCAGGGACCGACCGTCCCAGCATTCCGATAGTCCTACCACGACCTGTTCTTGGAACCCAAAAAACTTCCAACAACAAAATCAATGATCTTAGAACATAAACCCGATGTGATCAAACAAGACAGACTCCGCGAGAAATGTTCTAAGAACATTCCGTGGAAACCACAAAAGGTTCTTAGAACACTGTTCGGTAGGGCTACAGGCGAGCCAGGACGCTGCGCCACTGCTTGAACGAGAGCCCCCGACACCCAGCCAGCTCAGACGCCCGCCTTCCCGGGCGCCGCGGACGGCCTGGACCGCAGGAGCCCGCGCGTCTGCAGGCCGCCGCCCGCCGGCGGCCCCACCGCCTGCTGACGGCGCCCGGGGCGGCGACGACGACGACGATGACGACGACGACGACGACGACGACGACGACGACGACGACGACGACGACGACGACGGAGGTCCGAAGGTCGAAGTGCGAACCTTCGAACCTCCGAAGCTCGAACTTCCATGCCCGTGTCAAGATCGCACGACGCCACCAGCCGTGAAAAATCATCCCAGCGAAGCAACCTAACAGCGATGTGTAAGAGCATATCTGGAAGCATTCCCCTTAAGATTCAGATGAGAATCCAGTTGTAGAATTCTGCTGTTCTCGCAGTCGTAGTCGCATTCGCGATGACAGTCGCAATGGCAACGGCAGTCGCAGTCACAGCCTCAGCCTCAGCCTGCCTCAGCCTCAGCCTCAGCCTGCCTCAGCCTCAGCCTGCCTCAGCCTCAGCCTCAGCCTGCTTCAGCCTCAGCCTCAGTCTGCCTTCAGCCTCGGCCTCAGCCTCAGCCTGCCTCAGCCTCAGCCTGCATCAGCCTCAGCCTCAGCCTCAGCCTGCCTCAGCATCAGCCTGCCTCAGCCTCAGCCTCAGCCTGCCTCAGCCTCAGCCTGCATCAGCCTCAGCCTCAGCCTCAGCCTGCCTCAGCCTCAGCCTGCCTCAGCCTCAGCCTCAGCCTGCCTCAGCCTCAGCCTCAGCCTGCCTCAGCCTCAGCCTCAGTCTGCCTTCAGCCTCAGCCTGCCTCAGCCTCAGCCTCAGCCTGCATCAGCCTCAGCCTCAGCCTCAGCCTGCCTCAGCCTCAGCCTGCCTCAGCCTCAGCCTCAGCCTGCCTAGCCTCAGCCTCAGCCTCAGCCTGCTTCAGCCTCAGCCTCAGTCTGCCTTCAGCCTCGGCCTCAGCCTCAGCCTGCCTCAGCCTCAGCCTGCATCAGCCTCAGCCTCAGCCTCAGCCTGCCTCAGCTCAGCCTGCCTCAGCCTCAGCCTGCCTCAGCCTCAGCCTCAGCCTGCTTCAGCCTCAGCATCAGTCTGCCTTCAGCCTCGGCCTCAGCCTCCGCCTGCCTCAGCCTCAGCCTCAGCCCAGCCTCAGCTCAGCCTCGGCCTCAGCCTCAGCCTCCTGCCTCAGCCTCAGCCTCAGCCTCAGCCTCAGCCTCAGCCTGCTTCAGCCTCAGCCTCAGCCTTCAGCCTGCCTCAGCCTCAGCCTGCATCAGCCTCAGCCTCAGCCTCAGCCTGCCTCAGCATCAGCTGCCTCAGCCTCAGCCTCAGCCTCAGCCTGCCTCAGCCTCAGCCTCAGCCTGCTTCAGCCTCAGCCTCAGTCTGCCTTCAGCCTCGGCCTCAGCCTCAGCCTGCCTCAGCCTCAGCCTGCTCAGCCTCAGCCTCAGCCTCAGCCTCAGCCTCAGCCTGCCTCAGCCTCAGCCTCAGCCTCAGCCTGCTTCAGCCTCAGCCTCAGTCTGCCTTCAGCCTCGGCCTCAGCCTCAGCCTGCCTCAGCCTCAGCCTGCATCAGCCTCAGCCTCAGCCTCAGCCTGCCTCAGCATCAGCCTGCCTCAGCCTCAGCCTCAGCCTGCCTCAGCCTCAGCCTCAGCCTCAGCCTGCTTCAGCCTCAGCCTCAGTCTGCCTTCAGCCTCAGCCTCAGCCTCAGCCTGCCTCAGCCTCAGCCTGCTTCAGCCTCAGCCTCAGCCTCAGCCTGCCTCAGCCTCAGCCTCAGCCTCAGCCTCAGCCTGCCTCAGCCTCAGCCTCAGCCTGCTTCAGCCTCAGCCTCAGTCTGCCTTCAGCCTCGGCCTCAGCCTCAGCCTGCCTGCCTCAGCCTCAGCATCAGCCTGCCTCAGCATTCAAAATGTGGCCCGGAATGGAGTTCTGGGGTCTCGAAGAACACGACGTGACCTACAGTTGGCTCCGGGCATTCAAAATCATGCCCAGGAATGGAATTCGGGGAACTCGAAGAACACGAAAAGACCTACAGTTGGCTCTGGGCATTCAAAGTGTGGCCCGGGAATATAGTTCTGGGAATTCGAAGACCACGAAGTGGCCTACGGTTGGCTCCGGGCATTCAGGATGTGGCCTGGGAATGGAGTTCTGGGAATTCGAAGACCACGAAGTGGCCTACAGTTGGCTCCAGGCATTCAAAATCATGCCCAGGAATGGAGTTCTGGGACCTCGAAGACCACGAAGTGTGCTACAGTTTGCTTAAAACGACTTCCGCGGGTTCTCCCCGGCACCCGCCCAGACCCCCCACTGGGGAGTCAAGATGCTCTCTCTTTTGACACTACTAGAAACCTATCCGTCTTCGCTGTTAGGTAAAAATCTGCCCCCGGCGATTTTTTATCGCTTGCAGCGTCGCGCCAGCGCCGTCTGAGCGCGACGCCTTTGCCGCCGCCAACTTCCACGGAGGCTGCGCCGGCTCCACACGGCGGCATGCAAGGCAGCTGCCAACGATGCACTCATCGAGTGGGATTGCGGAGCGCTGTGGTCTTGGGAGGCCCTCGTGGAAGCCAGCGAGCACCAACGACACGCGCTGCACGACGCGCTGTGTTTCCACATCGGCGTCTTCGGCCCTACAGGTGATGCGTGACATGTTTGACTGAATTCGGGGTCTGTCGCGCCGCGCTGGGGGGGTCCAGGGGCATGTCTGACACTGCTGCGTGAGCCTCGCTGGGGCGCCCTGGAGGTCTACAGGGCCCCATTGGGCACCGCGGTCCGGAATCCTGCGCTTCCCCAGGAGATTGGGGCTGACAGAGGGGGCCGTCCGTCCACAATCGATCTGCCAGAGGGGGGGGGGGGGGCAAACTGAAGAATTCCCCCCCTGTTCGGGGACAAATGTATACATCACCGGCAGCACGTGGGCGGACAAAGTCTGCCCCCCCAGCAGGGCTAGGCATGGGATCGCCGATGGAGCCGGCCTCCAGGCAAGAGAGCGAAGCGCTGTTGTCTTCGCGACGGGGGCCCCCCAACGCGAAACGCGGTTTTCTTCGCGCCACGAGCCCTGCCAGAGGGTTTCGGCCACTTAGCTGCGGCCGAATTTCGGACATGCTCGTGGGACAGGGTCTGGACTGACCGATGGCCAACACTACACATGGACCCACGCCTACCATGCCTGACAAATGTAAAAGGCAGCGGTGGAGGCGCCGAAAGGCGCCCAGGAGGCCCCAGGACGTTCTGTGAGCTGCCCAGGCTTCCGCCGAGGAAGACCTCACGAAAACCTGAAGAGTTTCCAGGAGGCTGCCAACGCGACCCAAGAGGCCACGAAGAAGCCCAACAGCTGCAATCCCGCCCCTGAAACCCACGGCGTGGATGCGCAAGTGCAGTAATAGTATAAAACGTGCTTGGTCGTGCGAAGCTTCGGAGGCGGCTCCCACAACGACGAGGCGTTCCAGCGTCTCCTTCCTCGCGTCCCCAACGAACTCCAAAATCAGCCCAGACGGCCCCCGAATTCGTTTCCGAATCGCCCCCAACAACCCCCAACGGCTACCGATACAATCCAAAAATACGCCTGGCAGACACTCAAACAGGCCCGCGTCGCTTCACAGGCGCCCCAGGACACCCCCAAGAGGACGCCCCGAGGCGGCCTGAAGGGCCCTCGAAAATTTCCAGGACGGCCCAAAACTGGTTCCCACGGCAGCCGAAAAGCACCCATGACAATCCAAGAGGTTCCCAACAAAAACGTTGGAGGGAATGCCCGACAATCGCCCGATGTGGTTAACGAAGCCGTGAAACGGCCCAGGGCGCGCGGGCGAGGTCGATCGCCCTGCGCCCTCCCTCCTTCCTCGTCGTCGCCGCCGTCCCCCATATTCCATTCTCCCCTTCATGTCCCCCCCCCCCTTCCCTCTCCCTGTCCCCCCCCTCCCCTCCCCCTTTTTGGAGCGCATTGACGGGGGCAACTAGACCAGATCGGAACGCTTGGCGCGATACAAAGGCCGCGCCATATTGCACTGCGCGTTCACGACCTACCGAAGCGCACTCAACAAACTGATTGAGCGTTAGACCCAGCAAAAGATGGCCTAGGAAATGGTCACTGGATAGGCTGGCGGGGGCACGCATGTAGGGCGGCGGCGCCAGCACCACGATAAACAGAACAGACAACGCGCAGTGGCCCCAGTCTGGGACGGAGAGACAAGCAAGAAAATGAAATAGCACACGCACCCAAAACATACAATCGATAACCGGATCATATTGTCACGCACGGCGTAGCTGTGCTCCAAACAGGATCAAGACCAATGAAATCAATTGCCGCGCGCACATGCAAGCGACGCCCATCGGTGACCCCGCACTGCATTGCAATGCAAAGCAATGAACGTGGGCAGTGCAGGTCAAATTCACTTGAACATTGGCGCGCGGTCGACGCTCCATTATCCCTCGCATGCGTACGTCGACGCATCAGGTGTGAGAGCGCTTCTACAGCTTACAATCAACCCAGACGCCCAAATTCATCCGAATACGTTGGTCTTGGGGGTGTCTGGTTGTTCAACGGTGTTGGTTCGAGCTTCAAACTTCGAACGCCGCCCTTCCGGCTTTGAGCTCCGATATCCGAACCCCGCACACCGTCTGCCTGCCCCGTGCCCCCTCCCCGTGGGCCGCTCCCTGGGGCGCGTGCCGACCGCGAACCGGGCCGTGGCGACGGCCCCACCCCTCCCGGGAAGACTGCGGGGACAGCGGCGGCCACGGGAGCGGGGACCGCTCTGTTGCAGCGGGGCGAGGGCTGGGCAGACCCGTGAGGAAGCAACTATGCGGGGAGGTCTTCGTCGGAAGGATTACAGAGAATGGAGCCCCATTGGGGGGCTATTACGCCGAAGTGGGCCTCGGATTAAGCCGGGTTCAGCGGGATTGAACGGGATTCAGCCGGATTAAGCGGGATTAAGCGGGATTAAGCAGGATTTCGGACCAGGGCGAAATCGAAATTTGACCTCCCAGGAATGGCATCCGAAAATCCGTGGCTGCTGAAACGGTCTTCCCGGAAGACAGAAGCAAACTCTCTCTCCTGGAAGCGAGCCCAGCGCGTTGAATATATATATATATATATATATATATATATATATATATATATATGTAGTAAACGGGCTGCTCCCCAGAAGAGAGGAAACAAGTTCCTGGATCTCTGTCTCAGCAGCCACAGGTTTGCCAGCCTTCGCCCGGCTTCTGAGACTCAAGGGGCCCAAGCACACATACACATATATATACATACATACATATACATATACATATACATATACATATACACATACACATACACATACACATACATATACATATACATATACATATACATATACATATACATATACATATACATATACATATACATATACATATACATATACATATACATATACATATACATATACATATACATATACACATATAAGCACAAATAACAGGATTCCCCATATTTTCCCATATCTTCCAGGGGTTCGTCTTCCCCACCAACTTCCAATTGTTTCCCACCTTTTCCGAGGAATCGCCGATGAATTGTGTCTGTGTGTTTCTCTTTCCCTCCCGAGAGAAGTGCCCCCTGGCGGACCGGGGCGACTTCTCCGAGGCCCGTGCGTCTTGTTCTCGGCTCGGGGGGCCAGGCGTCCGCCCGCCGCCCTCCCCAGCGCGAGGAGAGCGCACCGAGCGGGCCAAGACGCCGCTCCAAGAAAACCCTGCGCGGACCTCGCAGAAGTCCTGCCGTGCAGTCTGCCCGAGTACGGTCAACCAGTGTAGTAAGGACGCGCGATAAGGATGCAAGGGCCTTGGACGCCCATTGCGAAGCTTTTCGAGCGGGGCGCGGCCAGCGAAAGCGGCGAAGGATGGACCGAGGAGACATGGATGCAATGGTACCCTTGGGAAGGTTGCCCATCCTTACTATGCGGGTTGACTGTGACAAGCGCGTTCCACTCCTCGCAAATTAACCACTCGCAGGTGTCCCGCATCCGCCGAGGGGGATTTGCGGTCCATTGCACCAAGGCAGACGCTGGCTGTTCGAATCTTTTGCGAGTAGGCGCTGTGCGAGTAGCGGGACGCGCTCGGTGACTAAAAGCCTCCCAGATATGATCCGAGCAGGGGTCGGAGGGTCGCGCCAAATGGCCGATGCATCGGCGATGCATCGACGACGCTCGTGATGCACCGGTACCGTCGGCGTGGAGAACATCGGGCCTTGCATCGAGCCGCATCGCCGATGCATCGGCGATGCGGCGCAATCCTCCGACCCTATCTTGCCGGACCCCACCTGGGAGGCCTGGATCGACACGTGGAACATCAGGAGGCCACATGCTGGGTACGAATGTGGAAGCCAGTGGTGCCCGTCCACAGAGGGGCCAGGCGTAGCAAGACATGTGTGCACCCAGCTCGCCCAGGCCAACCACGTCATGCATCCAACTTCCCAGTATGCTTATGCCGCACCCCTCCCGGGGCTCATCTGGTGCGGTCCTTCTCCCTGGATCCGCTGTTGACGGTCTGGGGGCCCGAAGGCGGCTCCAAGGGGCCGAAAAAACAACAACTAAATTTCCGAACCCAGGAAATCGATGCCTCGCCCCCTCCTCTTCCTGCTGACCGGAACCGAGGCTAGGACACCTCAGACCCCGAGCCGACTCCAATGCGAATATCCATATGTGTCTCTCCGTCTTCTTTTATCAGTGCGGGGTCCCCAGAAGACCCGACCCTTTCCCCAGGACTTGCGCTTCATCCCGAATCGTTTTTGTTACGGCCCATGGCCTGGGTAATAAAGGACCCCATAATGAAACAACGATAAAACATCTCCCGTCCTGATTCTTTCAAACGCGAGCATGTCTGCTGCTATCACCGCGGTGAATGCGAAGGGCAAATGGAGGTTAGAAGCGAATGCTGAGGTGGGTTGGCTGTACTTGATCAAATCTAGCTCACTAGTGCGTTACAGGTGACCTAGATTGATTTAGGGGATCGAACGATCTGGGCGAAGTGGTGGGCTCCGCCCACTTAGCGAGGTCATCATTAAGTCGGGCACGTCCCTCTACAGGAGAAATTCTCAAGAAATGAACAAAAACAGCATCTGGGGACATCAAACACATATTACCAAGCGACGTACCCAACCCTTTTTATACATGTGGCAAGATTACTCAGGACCGCTCAATGCTGACTGGCACTCTGAAGGACTCGCAGTGCGCAAGAAGAGCACCCAGCAGTGATTTCTGAAATTTTCAGAAGAGCGCAGCAAGAAGAACAGCGGCAAACATACACAACGGGCACACAAGGGGCGTTGAAAGAAACGCGCCCAACAAGTGAACACTAAAGGGCGCGGCGGGGCACATGCATGAGGTGCATAGAAGGGGTTGGAGACTCACCTAAAAGTGGAGACAGAAGGGCGCGGCAGCGAACCCAAAGAGAAGCACCCAAAAGTGGAATCAAAAGGTCGCGGTCGCGCCAGACAAAAATGAGAAGGCAAGATGATAATTCAAACCCCGGAGGGTTCAGCGCCAGACAAAATGAGAAGACAAAGGAGGAGAAGGAGGAGGCGGACGGCGCTCTGGGCGTCCCCTTCGCCTTCCGGCAAACGGCTCCAAGACCCCAGGTCCGCCAAAACACTGCTCCAGCTCGCACCCATACTCGTCGTCGTCGTCGTCGTCGTCGTCGTCGTCGTCGTCGTCGTCGTCGTCGTCCTCGTCGTCGTCGTCGTCGTCGTCGTCGTCGTCGTCGTCGTCGTCGTCGTCGTCCTCGTCGTCGTCGTCGTCGTTGTCGTCGTCCTCGTCGTCCTCGTCGTCGTCCTCGTCACCGACGTCCCTGCCTCCTCCTCCTCCTCCTCCTCGTCCTCCTCCTCCGACCTCCTCCTCCCTCCCCCTCTTCTGCCCCCTCCAGGTGTGGGAGCCGCCCAGGGGACCTCCTTCGGGCCCAACGCCCACCTCCAGGGCGCACGCTCGCCTCCTGCGCGAACGCCCGCCTCCGAGGCGAACGCTCGCGCCCCAGAGGCCACCAGAAGCCCCCAAGAAGCCCTAAGACGACCTCCTACGGGCCGCAAAGCTATTTCCAAGAGGCCCCCAAGCCGCCAACCACGAGATCCCAACGAGCACTCCAGTGGTCTCTGACCCACCACCCAGGCACGGTGGCGGGATGGGCCGAAGAAGTGGCGACAGTTGCGCAGATCGCAACCCCCCCAACGGGCGGCGAGGTCCCGAGGTGGTCCGCGTATGACGTACCTCCGCTGGGCCTCCCAGGAGCCTACGAAAGTGGCGACAGTTGCGCAGATCGCAAGCCCCCAGGGGGCAGCGAGGTCCCGAGGTGGTCCGCGTGGGACCCACCTCCGCCGGACCTCCCAGGAGCCCACGAAAGTGGCCACAGTTGCGCAGATCGCAAGCCCCTCAGGGGGCAGCGAGGTCCCGAGGTGGTCCGCGTGGGACCCACCTCCGCTGGGCCTCCCAGGAGCCCACGAAAGTGGCGACAGTTGCGCAGATCGCAAGCCCCCCAAGTAGCGGCGAGGTCCCGAGGTGGTCCGCGTATGACGTACCTCCGCTGGGACTACCAGAAGCCCACGAAAGTGGCGACCGTTGCGCAGATCGCAAACCCCCCCGGGGGCGGCGAGGTCCCGAGGTGGTCCGCGTAGGACCCACCTCCGCCGGGCCTCCCAGGAGCCCACGAAAGTGGCGACAGTTGCGCAGATCGCAGACGGCACGAGAGAAGAGGAGAAGGGAACACAGGAAACAGGAGAGAATAAGGAGAGGAGGAGAGGAGGAGGAGGAGGAGGAGGAGGAGGAGGAGGAGGAGGAGGAGGAGGAGGAGAAGGAGGAGGAGGAGGAGGAGGAGGAGGGAGAGGAGGAGGAGGAGAAGAGGAGGAGGTGGAGACCACACAGCTCTTTTCTAAACGAATACCCAACACAGGAGGGTTGGGAACTATTTTCAGCTGCTGATAACATGTGTTTTTACTATTTCTATTCTTCGTCTTCAATCCGCCTGTAGGAGGATATGCCCGACCGAAGGTTATCACCCCCCCCTGGAACCACTGGGGGCACCTGTAACTCGATTACCATCTAGGTTAGGCCAGAGAACTATGACCCACCTTGGCATCCACTTCTAAGCCCCCTATCCCCCTAGCGTCCCCTCGGTGACCTCAGTGGGGATGTTTCCCTCCTCCTGACCCCCGATGTCGGCTCCAGCGGCGTCGCCCCCCGCGCTGGCGAGCGCTGGCCTTAGGAGGAGAAGAACGGCATAAACATAAACATTTGGCGCTCCGCGCGGATTTCTCGGATCTGCGCTGGACCTCCCTCCCTGGAGCGCGGAGCTCGCCAGGGGCGGCGCTGGAGGCGCCGCAGGGGGGACCCCGGCGCGGATTCAAGAAATCCCCGCGGAGCGCCAACAGTTAACGTTAGGTCGGGCATGTCCCCTCCACAGGCGGATTTTGGACAGAACATGTGGAAATAACCAAAAAATGCTCCCAGATGGAGAAAGATAGCAGAAATATCGTCACCAGACTGTTTTTTTTTACCGTTTTGGAGCTTGCCTCCTGGAGAGGGACACGCCCGACTTACAAGTTAACGTTTAAATGCAGCTTTTTCTTCTTCCATTCGGCTACACACAGGAGTGACCCTGGGCAAGAGTGGCCTTTGGTGCGCGGCCTTTGGGGGGCCGCGGGGGGGCCGAACACGAGCGCGTTAGACGCCACTGCCGCCTCGCCTTCGGCGATCAGCCCCACTTGGCCCGCACCAAAGGTCACTCCTGCGAAAGGTCATACCCACGTCTCGTCGATCGCTGGCCTGCGGGCAGCCCCCAGGCCGGCGCGCCGGGCCTCGGCCGCGGGCGCGGCGCGGCGGCGGCGTGCGCGGGCGGGGCCCTCTGGCCGCGCGGGGGGCCCTGCAGCAGGCGCACGAAGGCCGCGTAGCTGAGCCCCTGCGGGTCCTCTGGGGCGGCCTCGGCCAGCAACGCCTCCACCTTCATAGTGTCTCGCTGTACGCAGAGGAACAGAACCAGGCACGAACAGCGACCTTTGACGGTCCGCGCGGATGTCTTGGGGTCTGCGCTACCCCCCCTCGAGCGCGCCAGGGAGGCGTCGCCCGGGGGACCCCAGCCGGATCCAAGAAATCCGCGCGGAGCGCCAACGTTTTAATGTTTATACCTGTTTCTATATCCTGCGGTGCTGATTATTCGGCCGCTCACGCCACTTGCGTGATCCTACCGCAGCCCTGGCCACGGAGGCTACCGTGCTGACCACGGCTCGATCACGCATTCTCAAACTCGGATGCACTCGGATGATCCAGCCGAACCGATCACGTGATCGACGATCCCGCGATCCCCCGATCACTGCGACGAGTGACCGCCGATCGTGTGATCAGCAGATACTGAGGCCTCCACGCCTGTGCCCTCGAAGGCGTCGCCGAGGACGGCCCTCAAGTCCTCCGCGCCGATGGTCCCGGAGTCGTCGGCGTCCAGCCGGCGGAAGGTCGCGCGCATCAGCACGTCGCAGTCCCGCCCCCGCGCCCGTCCCTCCAGCGCCGCCGCCAGGAAGTCCGAGCAATTGATGCGGTCGTCCCCGTTCGCATCCAGCATGCCGCACAGCTCGTCTAGAACGCCAGAGTCCGCGCGGCGAAGTCGGCGCGCGGGCGTGGCCGGCGACATCTCCGCTTCGTGCACGGGGGAGGCGCCGAGGAGGGGGAGAAGGAGGAGGAGATAGAGGAGAAGAAGGAGGAGGAGGAGGAGGAGGGGATAATTAGAGGAGGAGGAGGAGGAGGAGGAGGAGGAGGAGGAGGAGGAGGAGGAGGAGGAGGAGGAGGAGGAGGAGGAGGAGGAGGAGGAGGCGGAGGAGGCGGAGGAGGCGGAGGAGGAGAGGAAAGAGGACGAGGAGGAGGAGGAGGAGGAGGAGGAGGAGGAGTTGGAGGAGGAGAGGGAAGAGGCTCAGGAGGAGGAGGAGGAGGAGGAGGAGGAGGAGGAGGAGGGAGGAGGAGGGGACCATCGCCGCGGACGGCACGCTTGAGGTCATGAAGGCTCAGAGTGCCGTGGCCGCAGGTGTCAAGCGCCAGGAACGTGTCGTGCAGCCCCTGGGCCTCTGCGGGAGGCAGCTCCCGGGCCATCAGCTGCAGCACCGCGCGGCGGACCGTGGATGCCTCCGAGTAGCAGTGCAGGGACCGCAGCAGGTCGCGCCGGAGGACCAAGGTGGGCGGGGCGTGTCCAGAGAGCCAGGGGTGCTGAAGCGCCTCCCTCGCGCTCAAGCGCTCGTTGGGGTCGACCGCGAGCAGCTTGCTCACGAGATCCACGGCGGGCTCCCGCACCTTCTTCCACCGGTGCTGGTGGCTCCAGTCGGGTTTGCCCGCCCTGATGTTGCTCATGATCCGCTTCTCGTCCCCGTGGAACGGCGGGTAGCCGGTGAGCAACATCCAGATGATGACGCCGAGGCTCCACATGTCGCACTTGTTGGTGTAGCCCTTCCCCGAAAGCACGTCCGGGCTGACGTACGCAACGGAGCCGCACGAAGCCGTCATCAGCGTCGAGGGGTCCCAGACACGCGCGAAGCCGAAGTCAATCAACTTTAGCTGGGAGGACTCGGGGGACACGTAGAGCAGGTTCTCCAGCTTCAAGTCTCTGTGGACTATATCGCTGGAATGGAGGTAGCTGACGGCACGGAGCATCTGGCGCATTGCGTCCGCGGCCTCTGCATCGTCAAACACGCCTCTCTTGTGGAGGCGATCGTACAACTCGCCGCCTTCGCAGCACTCCGTGAGAAGCTGGATCTTGTCCCCAGTCTCGTACACGTCCTGCAGCCGAGCAATATTCGGATGGTCCAATCCCAGATGGATCTCCACCTCGGTGGAGAGCCGACCGAGCCTCTTTGCCGGCACCCGCGCCTTGTGGATCGTCTTCAGGGCATACCGGCGCCGGTCCACGCGATTGTTTGCGAGCACGACGCTGCCACAGATGCCCGAGCCGAGGACCTTGGTGCTCACGTGGTAGTCGTCCTCGAGCTTCCTGCCGCTGCTGGTGGAGCTGTGGTAGCGCGTGGCCGTCACCACGGCGTTGCTCGAGAGGCTCTTCGCCGTCTCCAGGCACACCAAGTCGGCGCCGCACTCCCCGCCGTCCTCGCTCTTGCTCTCCTCCCGGTTGGAGCAGTTGCCCATGGCGGCGGCAGGGCCCGGGTGCGCTCTGAGCAGCGGCGGGGCCCTCCCTTCGCCTGGTGGCGCATGTGGCCCCCGAGCTGGCACGGCTGGCCACGGGGGGAGGGGGAGCAGCAGCAATGGCAGGGGAGGAAGAGGAAGAGCAAAACGAGAAGGATTCGACCTCGGACCTCAATCCTCGGACCTCGATCCTCGAACCTCGAGAAGAGCAGGAGCCTCGATCCTCGATCTTCGGACCTAGGATGCCAGGGTGCAACCCGCCCTCTGCCCCCCAACGCGCACCCCGGTGGGATGAGGGCGGTAAGACGAGAGCGAAGAGGACGATGAGGAGGAGGTATAGGAGGTACAGGCTAGAGCTCAACCAAGCAGTGTTTCTCGTTCTCGCTTTGTTTTCATATTCCCTCGTTTTGTCTCCAGTCTGCTTCTGCGGCAAATTGGAAACGAAACGAAAACGGCCCACGACATCCCCAACTCAAAAGGCTCCGAAGTCCCCCAGCCTTCTGGTAAGTTTCCTGAGCCTTCCCCAGAGACAGAAAGAAGGCCTGTCCGAAGGCCGGAGGGCTTCTGAGAAGCCCCGCCGCCTTCTGAGAGGGCCTCCTCCTTCTCGCTCCCCCCCCCTCGCTCGCCTCCGATCTTCTTCAGCGATTGGGCGGGAGGACCCGGGCTTCGCCACGTGCCCGGATGCGGCCTGGCCGATGCCCCCCCGTAGGGGCGCCCCGTGGGCGCTCCGTGTGCTGGACGCGTGGGCCCGAGGGGTCGCAGCCTGCCCGGCCAGCGCACGCGGCCGGGGCCCGACGGTGGGCGCCTCGTGGGCGCGCCTCGTGTCCGCCCGGTGCCCGCGCGAGGGCGCCTCGCGCTGCCTGCAGTGGGGGCCAGGCCAGGAGAACACCCCTCGAGAAGCCGAGATCATCCGTGGGTCCAAAAAAAACGCAAAACATCCAAGGGCACCCTCCCCAGGAGGCACAAGAGCATGCAACGGGCACGAAGATCACCAGGGTACCCTCCCCAATGAACCGGCCTCGATCTTCTACCTCGGTCCGACTGCACCACCACCACATCGATTGCACCATGCAGCCTGCGGCACATAGGCTCCTCTTCCCAAGGAGAATGAAGCTCTGCCCCGCTACCGGGTCCGGGGTTCGCACTTCCCCTCGGGGTAGTGTCTGTGGCATGCTCATTCTACACGGTCATCGTCGTTCTGAATGTCGATCAAGAGCATGGCGTGCCGGCCAGGTCCGATGGCTGTTGGCGTCACTCAAGCCCGATGCGCGCGCCGCCGCGCGCGTACGTCTAAATCAATCAGAAAAATGTTTTTCCCAAGTAGGCTTCGCCTAAGCAGATCCTAGAGGCCTCCCAAATGGGGTCCGAGTAGATGGGGTCGGAGCATCGCGCCGCATCGCCGATGCATCGGCGATGCAGCGGCGACGTCGGCGTGGTGAGAATCGGGCTCCACATCAAGCCGCATCGCCGATACATCGGCGATGCGGAGCGATCCTCGGACCCCATCGACTCTACACACCCAGCCACTCAAGCTCCAACATAGCCTACCGAACGCCCTGGACGTCTCTAGTCCGCTGGGTGGGGGTCGGCGGAATGGCGTAATCCACTTGAACATCGGAATCGAATCGGATCGGGCCGGCCAGGGTCGACATCGAGTCGGATCGATCGGATCGAAACGGATCCTGCTGGGCGGCGATCGATCTGCTAACGGTCGTCGGAGATCTGGGTTTGCAGGCCCTACCCCAGACCTCTGGCCTCCGTTTCGAGACGGTACGACCACCTTGGGAGTGCCCTCGACGAGGCGCAGCTGTTGGAGAGCATCCCGCAGCGAGAACACCTCCGGGGAACGACGCGACGCGAACTCTCAGGAAAGGATTCTGCCTCCCTCCGAAACGACGCGATCGGTCAGACGATGCTGAGGAGGAGGAGGAGGAGAAGGAGGAGGAGGAGGAGGAGAAGGAGGAGGAGGAGGAGGGGGAGGAGGAGGAGGCGGAGGAGGCGGAGGAGTGACCCCGCTCCCCCCGCGCGGGAAGGCGGCTGGCGTGGACCCATCCGCGCAGGGCGGTGGGAGCCTCCGCGGGCGGCGGGGCGCCGGGCGCGCGCAGAGACGAGCCGCCCGGCCGGCCGAGAGGGTACAAGAAGGATGCGCGGTGAGGATGCAAGGGCCTGTGGGAGGAGGAGGAGGAGGAGGAGGAGGAGGAGGAGGAGGAGGAGGAGGAGGAGGAGGAGGAAGAGGAGGAGGGGTAGGTAGGGGTAGGTAGGAGGAGGAGGAGGAGGGAGGAGGAGGAGGAGGAGGAGGAGGAGGAAGAGAGGAGGAGGGGTAGGTGGGGGGAGGAGGAGGAGGGAGGAGGAGGAGGAGGAGGAGGGAGGAGGAGGGGGAGAAGGAGAAGGAGGAAGGGGAGGGGAGAGGAGAGGAGGAGGAGAGGAGGAGGAGAGGAGGAGGAGGAGGAGGAGGGGAGGAGGGTAGGGAGGAGGAGGCGGAGGAGGAGTAGGAGGAGGAGGAGGGGGAGGAGTAGGAGGAGTAGGGGAGGAGGAGGGGGAGAAGGAGGAGAAGGAGGAGGAGGAGGGGGAGGAGGAGAAGGAGGAGGAGGAGGAGGGGGAGGAGGAGGAGGAGGAGGAGGAGGAGGAGGAGGAGGAAGAGGAAGAGCAAGCCGCGCTCAAAGTCATGACACTCGGGCGGCACTTCCATACGTGTGAAAAACAACACATCATGTTTCCGGCCTCAGCGCAGAGGCCTGCATAGTGTTTCTTTCATTCTCAGAGTTTCATTCGTGAGCAAGGCTCCGGGCCTTCCAACGGCTTGTTCACGTATCTACCTCCATGCCTACCCGCAGCAAGCGTGCTATTGATGTTCTCCGTCTGGTCCGAGATCGTTCACAACTTTCAGATATTTCTCCTAGGACCATGGTTAAGGCCTGGCATGCAGACGTGGTCGCGATTCTAGTGTCAGGTTCTGTTTTGTATGCCCGCCGCTTCTTTGCGAAGCTCACCAGTGTCTTGAATATTGTCGAAGAGTGGTTGTTTGGCAATGTGAAAACACGGCGTTCCAATCATGATGTTGAGTTCGTATGGGCAGGGGTGCAAACCAGTCTTAGTGTACTTTGGTTGATGCTGCACCGGACTTGCCGGCAAGCCAGACAAGTAGGAACCATGTTGTCTATTTCGCACAGGCACGTCATATGGCTACCAGAAGCGCTACGGGACCTCGGCCTTCTACGACACGCTGCGCAGAGCCTCCTTGAACTTCAGCTCACGGCCATCAGCACCAACAGTGCTGATTATGCGACGCTCTATTGTTGGAATGGGTGCGGCTTCTTGTATGTCGGCTTTGCTCAACAGTGTCGCAAGACCTCCAGGCAGGCCGGGCCGATCTGCAGATGGCTCGAGCATGCGGTTCTGCGGCGCTACGCTGAGATGAGAGATGCCACGTACATGAGGTATCGCCTCGCCAGGCGCGTGCCTCCAGACCGCTACCATTTCATGGCCATGCGAGTCGGCCAGCGGGACAGCATCCACACGGCAGAAACGTATGCTATTCGCTCTCTCAGGCCTGCTTCTCATGTCAGTCGTTCGCAGCTCGCCAACATGTCAGCTGGGAAGCCGAGGGCGCGACGAGCACGCCCCCCTCCCGATGTTCGGCATTTTGGACCTCGTGGGAAACGTGTTCCGGGCGGTTTGTTTGATTGTGGAGTGCCAGACCGACGCGTTCCGCAATTATCTGTAGCCGACGCTCTACAACAGCCCCCCCCGCCATCACGACTTGCCCGGCGATCGTTGATGAATGCATGGTTCTGGACGTTTACTTTTCAGCAGTTGTATGTGCATCTGGCTAGGAACTTCGGGCCAGGCCCGATCAACATCTATGACAGTGCTGCATGGCCTCTGATGTTATTGTGGATTTGCACGCGCCGTGCCGATATCGACTGGGATCGAATCGCAGCCGCATGGTCTTTGCAATTGCCTATGCTACTTCTTCATCTGCGCGAGTGCGTACGCCTGGTTCCAGGTGTCGGTCGCCAAGAGAACGGCATGGTGAAAATTAGGGCTGCTTGGGCGCACTTAGGCTTGCCGCCGTTTACCGCGTTCAACGTGAAAGTTCATTTGTCAGTGATGGTGCCGATCGTTCGCAAGCTCATTTCTCTTGGTATTCGGTCTTCCTCTTGGCCTGACGGGATAAAAGATTGGATGGTAAGGTCATTGCGAGTCAGCGTGGGCAGCAAAATGACATTTCTCAATACTCATGGGTCTTCGTCTCGGGCGAAAGCTGTATCACTCAGAGAGGTTTGTACTTGGCCCGTGGGCCGCATCATGTACGCTGCCAGAGGTTTCGGAGCCCGTCTGATACGGAGACGTTGGGATATCGAGTTGAGGCCGATGCCAGACCAGATCATGCACGACAGTACCACGTTATCTTGCAGTTGGGTATCACGTTGGTGTGACACGCGCTCTCAATCGAATGTGCGACGCAGAGCTCAATCCAACGATGCTTCTGTGGCACTGATCTTGCATCAATGGCAACGCTGGCTCCCGAGCTTGTGGCAGTACACGTTGCACACGCTTGATTTTGAACCACCGTCTGGCTACGTTGTGATGCAAGACGACAAAGTCAAGAAATCGTGTTGGATAGTACCTGAGGATGTGTTCAAGATTTCTTTGTTTCAGTTCGTGCTCAACTCCAGTAGCTGGCATGTTTCCAATGAGTCGCACGACGACGCCAACTCTGCGCTTCGACAAGTTCTGAGTGATTACATCCCCGGCAGGCTGCGAAAAATACTCAAGATCGATGCCGCTGTCCGCAGGCTGCCACACATGTACACTACCATTACATCAAAATGCTACGGCCACGGCGTGGGTCCACGTACTTGCCAATCTTCTTCGCATAGTTGTTGTAGGAAGGTCATCTCCTTCGCGGCATGGCCGGCTGCAAAGGAGTGGCGTTGCATCGGCCGTGCGGTGGACACGTTGACCAAGCGATACACTAAGGGGCTTGAGCTCTGGCGGCT